GAGGCTGAGGAACATTGCAGCGGGATGGAGATGCACTGAGGGAAAGTCAGATAACGAAACGAAGTTGAGGGGTCATCTGAGGGAGGTCAAGTGCAATGAAGAGAAGACTGAGGGTCACTGAGAGAAGGTTTGTTGCAATTGAAGAAAAGTTAAATGTCACTTCAAGGAAATGCAGTGTGACTCTGTGAACAAGATTAAGGTGAGCTCTGCCAAGACCAGGGTGAAAACTATTCAGCCACAGAGTCAAGATCTTTGATGAAGGCTAAGTCCCCATTGTAGGATATACTTTTTCCAAGGTCTGCCCATTGCAAGACTTCTGCAGGCATAATGGACATTGTAAACAAGGAGCTTTGAGTGGAGGAGGAAGGATGGAACTGGGTATAGTACAAAAGGGCTGTCACCTGTGGTGGGGTCTGTTGCTGAGAAGCAACTATGGTCCAGTCCCATTCAGAGCAATGTTTAGCACTCCTACCTTAACCATTTGCAGATGGCAATGCCAATTTTGGCTGACGATATCCAGAGATGAGGTTACTGATACGTATGCTGTCCTTCAGGATGTACTGCAGTCCCTGGACTGGGAGGGAATCCAACACAAGGGGCTTTAAAAGTGGCTCATCTCAGATGTTTGGAGGCTCATGTCTGGCAGCTAACAAATCTCCTCCTTAAGAAAGCTAGAGAATTTGTGCTCTTCAGAACAGATTCAGAGAGCCAAACCAAATGACCTGGGCTTCAGTGTCATTCCCCAAGTATGTAGGGGGTTATCAACTATAATCAAAACTTCTTGAGACCAACCTGCAGCATTTATCAAAACCAACATTGATCAGCATTTCTGACATTGATGTGGTCTGTGACTGCAGGATCCATACCTTCCATGTTGTGCTCAATTCCCAGAGAGTTTTCTTGATCCATACGTTTTTTACAACTCCAGGTGTCAAAGCTCGATGAAGACACGTGCATGCCTGCGGAGATGAATTCTGGGTGACAGAGACAAACCTTTCAAAACTTGGCTGTTGACACCATTCAGAAATCGTTAGCCTCTGACTGAGATTCATGACAATGCATCCCATGGCTGTGCAACGACTACAATAGAATAGACTATCGCAATGTTGAAAATGAGTTCCACTGTCTGCACCACTCCAAAGTGTCCTACAGAGTGTCTTGAGGAGTATAATCTTTCATTTTACCCTGCACATTCTCTCACAATGGAGGGAGTTGACTTGCCAGTGATGGACAGAGAGGAGCCAGACTTATATGATGAGGAAGATGAGGGGGATGGTGACATAGAGCAGACAGACCTGCATATTAGGCTTCCAGCACCAGATGCCAGTACAATTTCTCTCATTACCAATAGATTCTAGCAGGTATGATGCGTTTCAGAAAGCAAAAAAAGTCCAGGTCTTACACCCGCAGAACCTCAGCAACTCCACCTAACAGCACTTCACGAATGTCCTCCAACAAGGTACTCCATCCTTGGCAGACAAATCATGGTGCTATCAGTATTCCTTGTTCAACCATGTCAACTTACAACTTACCATGCAAGTGATCATCATTCTGTTAAACAAATGCTAAGAACAACACCAATGTTGACCGAAGTGTAATATTTAGAGCCACAGAGTCATACAGCATGGAAACAGACCCTTTGGTCCAATCAGTCCACACTGATAATGTTCCCAAACTAAACTAGTCCCACCTGCATGGTCCATACCCCTCCCAACCTTTCCTATTCGTGAACTTATCCAGAACTCTTTTAAACACTGTAACTGTACCTGCATCCACTACTTTCTCTGGCAGTTCATTCCACACATGAACCACTCCGCATCCTAGGGAAAAGACCCTTGTCACCCTTATCTGTGCCCCTTATGATTTTATAAACCTCAATAAGATCACCCCTTAACCTCCTAAGCTCCAGTGAATTAAGCTCCAGTCTTTCCAGTCTATTTTTATATCTCAAACCCTCCATTCTTGGCAACATCATGATAAATTTTTTCTGAACCCCCTCCAGTTTAATAATATCCTTCCAATAACATGGCGTCAGAACTGCACACAGTACTCCAGAAGAAGCCTCAATGTCCTGTAAAACCCCAACATGACATCGCAACTCCTGTACTCAAAGGTCTGAGCAATGAAGGCAAGCTTGCTAAATGCCTTCCTAACCAGCCTGTCTACCTGTGATGCAAATTTCAATGAATTATGTACCTGAACCCCTGGGTCTCTCTGTTCTACAACACTACCCAGGGCCCTACCATTAACTGTAAAAGTTCTGTCCTTGTTTGTGTTAACAAAATGCAATACTTCACATTTATCCAAATTAAACTCCATCTACCACTCCTCAACCTATTGACCAAATTGATCAAGATCTCTTTGTAATCTTAGACAACCTTTTTCACTGACCACCATCCCACCAATTTTGGTGTCATCAGCAAACTTACTAATCATACTTTCTGTATTCTCATCCAAACCATTTATATAAATGACAAACAAAATTGGACCCAGCACCGATTCCTGTGGAAAACCTCTGGTCACAGGCCCCCAGTCCGAGAAACCACCCTCAACCACCACTCTCTGTCTCCTGTCGTTAAGCCAATTTTGTATCCAGTTGGCAAGTTCACCCTGAATCCCATGTGATCTAACTTTACTAATGAGTCTATCATGCGGAACCTTGTCAAAGACTTTACTAAGTCGAAGTAAACAATGCCTGCTCCTCTGCCCTCATCAATCTTTTTGGTTGCTTCATTAATTGCACAAAACCATGCTATCACTAATCGATATTTGCCTCTCCAGTGCATGTAAATCCTGTCTTTCAGTATCACCCATAACAACTTACCCACCGCTGATGTCAGACTCACAGATCTATAGTTTCCAGGCTGCTTCTTACAGCCTTTCTTATGGCACAACATTAGCCATCCTGAAGTCCTCCGGACTTCACCCATGTTTATAGATGACACAGGTATTTCTGCTAGGGGCCCCACAATTTCCTCCCTGACTTTCCACAATGTCCTGGAATTTATCTGCCTTTATGTTTTCTAAGACCTCCAGCACTTCCTCTTCTGTAAAGTGAACTGTTTTCAAAACATGAGTATTTATTTCCCTGAGTTCTCTAGCCTCCATTTCTTTCTTAACAGTAAAAACTGACGCAAAATATTCATTTAGTATCTTTCCGATCTCCTGAGTTTCAACACAAAGACAACCTCAATCTTTTAGGGGTCCTACTGTCTATCTGGTTGTTCTCTTGCTCTTAAAGAATTTGTAGAATCCTTTTGGATTATCTTTAACATTATCTGCCAATGCTATCTCATATCCCTTCTTTGCCTTCCTGAACAGCCATTGTGTGCCTATGTGCACTTTTGTTTAGGCTTTCAGTTTTGCTTTTGGCTACTATGATGTGGTACAACCACGATATTCACAGCTGAGGTAGAGGTGCACTCCTGAGTCTGAGGCATGTTGCTTGAAATTACCTTGGTAATTTGCAGATGATACAAAAACATATGGAAAGGTAGGTTGTGAAAAGGATACAAACAGTTTACAGAAAGTTATTGATAGTTTAAAGTGGGCAAAAAGTTGGCAAATGGAGTATAATGTAGGAAAATGCGAAGTTGTTCATTGTGGAAGGGAGAACAAAAGAACTTAATATTATTTAAATGGAGAAAACCAACAGAAAGCTGCAACACAAAGTGACTTGGGGGCATTTGTGCACAGAAAGCTAGCACACAGGGTAGAGCAGGAGATCAGGATCGCCAGTGGAATGTTGGCCCTTATTTCAAGGGGTTTGTAGTATAAGAGTAGGGGAATCTTACTGCAACTGTACAAGGTGCTGGTGAGACCACACCTGGAGTACTGTGAGCAGCTTTGGTCCCTAAATTTAAGGAAAGATATCATTTCAATGGAGTAAATTCACAGAAGGTTCACTAGGATGATCCCTGATTAGGATTCCTCTCAAAGGAGTTTAGAAGAATGAGAAGTGATCTTGTTTAAACATATAGGATTCTTAAGAGGCTTGACAAGGTAAATTCTAAGAGGCTGTTTCCCCTCGTGGGAGAGTCTAGAACCAGAAGGCATAGTCGCAGAATAAAGGAGTGCCAATTTAAGAATGAGATGAGGAGGAATTTCTTCTCTCAAATTGTCAGTGCATTGATTATAGGAGCTGGGAGGTCATGTTGCGGCTGTACAGGACATGAGTTAGGCCACTATTGGAACACTACTTGCAATTCTGGTCTCCCTGCTATTTGAAGGATGTTGTGAAACTTGGAAGTGTTCAGAAAAGATTTACAAGGTATTGCCAGGGTTGGAGGGTTTGAGCTACAGGGAGAGGCTGTTTCCCTGGAGCATTGGAGGCTGAGGGGTGACCTTGCAGAGGTTTACAAAGTCATGAGGGGCATGGATAGGGTAAATAGACAAGGTCTTTTCCCCAGGGTATGGGAGTCCAAAACTAGAGGGCACAGGTTTAAAGTGAGAGGGAAAAATTGTAAAAGGGATTTGAGGGGCAGCTTTTTCAGACAGAGGGTAGTGCGTGTATGGAATGAGCTGCTGGAGGAAGTGGTGGAGGCTGGTACAATTACAACATTTAAAAGGCATCTGGATGGGTATATGAATAGGAAGGTTTTAGACAGATATGGGCCAAATGCTGGCAAATGGGATTAGATTTGTTTAGGATATCTGGTTGGCATGGACAAGTTGGACCAAAGGGTTTTTTTCTATGCGGTACATCTCTATGACTCTATGTAAGTGTTTGGAACTCCTTGCCACTGAGAGCTGTGGAGGCAGAGTCCTTGTATATATTTAAGGTTGAGCTAGGCAGATTCTTGATCATTAGAGGAATCAACAGTTATGATGAAAGGGCAGGAAACTGGGCAGGAGAAACGTCAGTTCAGCCATGATCCTACTGAATGACAGAGCAGCATCGAGGGGCTGAACAGCCTACTCCTGTTCCTATTTCTTTTTGGTTCTTATAAATTTTATGTTGAGCTGTTTATGTGTTAAACTTTTAAGTACTTTCATTACAGAAGTGAATGCAATTCCCACAAAAGAAATTGCATCTGTAACTCCTACAGAAACAATGTTGCTGAGTGCTGAAGCAGCGAGTATGAAAATAAGCCAGGCAGTTACAGCAGATACCAGCACAAAACAGACCATATCAAGGAAAGATAACAAAATCTCTACAGCGGTGTCTGATGTTTCAGAAAGAACACTGCTTCTGCTACTGACAACCATTGTGCCATCTGTAGAGCCCACAGCACCTCCATCAAGTACAGCTGAGGAACTTGAATCAGAAGGTACATATATGTCTTTTATACGTCATGAAACTAACATGAAAAATGTAGAACAATACTGAAAAATTGAATATGTAGTATTCAACCTGGAAACAGTGCAGGTTTTGCTCTAACTAATAAACCATAAAAAAAGTACTATAAAAGCAGTTGAAGCATAGTTATTCTTTTGTTCCTATTTATGTGTATGGTCATATAAATAAGAAATTGGATATTGCAATTTGTAAATTGGTTCTTCACTCAAACTACATTCACGGTAGTGTACTTCAGATTTATTAGTATGCTGTAAATTGTTGCATTTGTGTTTAGTAGTTGAATGTAATACAAACTCAAACTAGATTATACAAAATTATTTTGTTACTACTTGATCTCTAGCTATAATAAACCTGGCTGAAATTCCATTAAAGTTAGTATGTTGATCATGTGAATACAATGCATATAATTTATTGCTACTTAATAGTTACTGTTAACTTCATAATCATACTCATTTGTATTGTCAATTTCAAACAATATTTCTTGTATTTGCAGTACTGACAAGTGCTAGTGATTTACTGCAACAGAAGTCAGTAGTCCCGATTGTAAAAAAGATATTTGCCACGACAGCAGCATTAAAGACTGAATCCAATGATACAATCGTGCAAGCATCTGCTACAAAAGCAATGGGAATGATGATGGTTAAGCCAATTAGCTCGTCACCTGAGTTAAGAGATAACACATGGTCATCCTCAGCAACAACTTTGGCACCTTCTTTCAGTGACACAGAGCCACCAATGTATACTTTGGACACAACAGAGTCAGAAGGTATCGCTGCTAATGTTGTTAGTTGTTGGCTTTAACTTTCGTGAGTATGCAAACTTTAACCAAACCTGCTACATTCTGCGCTATTTTGGAAATTCATTTTTCTTTCCTCCATTCTTTCCATCAGCCCTATTGACTCCCTGCATTTCTCCACTTTGCAAACCCCATCTCTGTTCTTGTGCATCTTACTTTATAATTCGTTTAATCAGTAGACTTGGAGAAAGATGTACAGGCACCAACAATTGATCTTCTTGCCTAGCATTGCAGCTGACTTAGAAATTCCACAGGAAGCCAACTTCATGGTAACAGAAACATGACTGGAAGTGCATTAGTGCCTTCCCAATTCTCACATGGAGACATTCTTTTTAACCAGCTCTGGTGGAATTAATTACCATACAGTCATTTACTTAGGATCTGCCAAGGTAGTTTGGGATTGGTTGGGTCAGGGCTGAATGGCTGGCAAAAGAATTGAATGATGTGATATACTTTGGTACAGTTTATCAGCTATTATGAAGAAACATGAAGTCCTGGAAATATTTCTTATGCAGCACACAGAAATATACAAAAAGCTAATGTTCTGACAACTATCTCGTGAAAATGGTGATATGTAATCCAGATGAACAGGACAACTTTAGTGAATGTAATAGCCAAGATAATATGGAGAAGAGAAATGGAGAATTTTTCAATTTTGTTTTTGTCCTGATTTTTAAATTAATTTTCCCTCTTGTCCTATTTTCGACCTAACCATCAATTGTGACTGTCTGTTGCTTGTTCTTCCTGCTCCATTTTGCATTGCTGTTTCAGTTTGTCCTATCTTTAAAATTAATTTAGTAAACTTTTCAATTTGTGCAATCTAACTTCTGCTTCAACTTCTTACTTTTCAATCATGGTTTTAACATTCCCATTTCAGTGACCTGTTTATATTGTACTTTAAAATCATCATATTCTTTCCCATTCATTCTGTTGTTTTACAAGAAATAATCTGTTCAAATGGTTTTTCAATATTTTTCAAATATTTTCATGCTCAGTTTCCTTTGTTGCACTTATGTGAATTTTTCTTTTCCTTCACTATTTCAAATTGCCACCTTTTTTTAAGTTAATGCTCTCCTTACTTTGAAAAACTAAACAATTTTTCACCTTCTATGTACTTCCTTGCCAGTGTTTTAATGTTCCTTCTCCTGAGACACCAAATGACCTATCAGTCACTCCAGAGTACTGAACAGTTGACACAAGTATTGTGTCTGCTTAGACTTTATTTCAGATATGATTCGATTGTCTCCATGTAGTGGACTGAGTGGCACAGGTAAGTGCCCATCCTGCCTATTATTTTCATTATGCAGTGGCAGAACCTTAGCTCCTAATAATAGTATACCTTGAAATCTGAACTGGCTATCACGCCTTCCATATGTGCCCTCATGCATGCCTCTTAGAAGTTGAATCAGAGATAATAGGAACTGCAGATGCTGGAGAATCCGAGACAACAAGGTGCAGGGCTGGATGAACACAGCAGGCCAAGCAGCATCATAGGAGCAGAGAGGCTGACGTTTCGGGCCTAGACCCTTCATCAGAAAAGGGGGAGGGGAAGGGGGTTTTGAAATAAATAGGGAGAGAGTGGGAGGCGGATAGAAGAGGGATAGAGGAGAGGATAGGTGGAGAGGAAACACATCAAGCAGATGTTCACCTGCACATCTGCCAATGTGGTAGACTTTCCACATCAAGCAGATGTTCACCTGCACATCTGCCAATGTG